CATGAATCAATCTCACATGCATCCCAAATGTGTACAATTCAGATACAGCAATTAATTTTTTTAAAAAAAGAAAACTGTATGAGTAGCCTAGATTGATTTTTCTACACTGAGAACCTTTTTTGTATAAATCAGGAAAAGGAGCTGTAAGAGCTGCTAAGAGGTTTCTGCTGGCAAGAAGTCTGTGGACCCCGAGATGTGGTGGCACCATGGGCAGGTTAGTGGTTGCGGCCTGAGAAAGGCCATGGACTTCGGAAACCTCAGCGTTAATGCCATTCTTAGAGGAAGTCTTCTTTCAGGTTTGCCATCAAATGGTGGATATCACAATTTTTCAAGTCTAAAAGTCGTATGTCTCACTTTAGGCCAGGAGTTCGAGACAGGCCCGGCCAACATGGTGAAACCCCATCTCTACTAAAAATACAAAAATCAGCCAGGCGTGGTGGTACACATGCCTGTAATCCTAACTAATTGGGAGGTGGAGGTTGCAGTGAGCCAAGATCGTGCCACTGCACTCCAGCCTGGGCGACAGATCAAGACTCTGTCTCAAAAAAAATAAAAATACACACACACACACACACACACACACACACACACACACGTCTTCTATCTGATCTACCCCTGAGCAAATCACACAGCAGGAAATGTTCTAAGTTTTAAATAAAAACCATGATACAAAATTCTATTTACAGTATAATCTCAAATGCATTAGAGAGAGAGAAAATAAACAGGAGAAGTGGAAAAATATAAAGACACAAAAACCATAAGTATTTTTCGAATAATGGACCTAAACAGGATTGTCCTAAACTTTCTTTACAACATAGAGATGCTTAATTCTGTAAGATACATGTTTAACATGACATTTTGTTGGCAACACTAATGTACTTTAACAAACATATGGTGCAGCATTAGGTAGGTTTCACTTTGGGGGTTTAATTTACTTTTTTGTTTGGTAAACCTGAGACACTAATATGCATTAGGTTTCGTTGTTTTTGAGACAAGGTCTCGCTCTGTCACCCAGGCTGGAGTGCAATGACACGATCTTGGCTCACTGCAACCTCCACCTCCTGGGTTCAAGTGATTCTCATGCCTCAACCTCTCCAGTAGCTGGAATTACAGGCATGCACCACCACGTGTGGCTAATTGTTTTGTATTTTTAGTAGAGATGGGGTTTTGCCATGTTGCCCAGGCTGGTCTTGAACTACTGAGCTCAGGCAATCTGCCCACCTTGGCCTCCCAAAATGCTGGGATTATAGGCGTGGGCCACCACCATGCCCAGCCTATGCACTAGTTTTAAAATTCAGAGGATTAAAGTTTCTCTACATCATATAAAGAAATGTGTAGGCTGGGCACAGTGACTCAAGCCTATAATCCCAGGACTTTGTCGGGGGTGGAGGCAGATGAATCACTTGAAGTCAGGAGTTAAAGAACAGCCAGCGCAGCATGGTAAAATCTCATCTCTATTAAAAAAAAAAATATATATATATATATATACAAAAAATTAGCCAGGTGTGGTGGCACATGCCTGTAATCCCAGCTACTCCAGAGGCTGAGGCATAATAATGCCTTAAATCCGGGAGGTGGAAGGTGCAGTGAGCCAAGATCATGCCATTGCACTCCAGCCCGGATGAAAGAGCCAGACTCCATCTCAAAAAGGAAGAAAGAAATGTGTGAACATGCCGAAGAAAATCAGTCAACTGGCAAAAATGAGCTGTTAATTTTTTTTTCTTACTCATCCTTCCTTCTGAATCATTTCATTCTCCTACCGAATACCTTTCTTGCAGGATTCTAATCACGACACAGATTGAAATCCAAACCTTCTAGTTCTTTACTGTTTTATAATTATTTTTTCCTCAGGTCTCATAATCTGTTTTGTTTTGTTTTGTTTTGTTTTGTTTTGTTTTGTTTTGTTTTGTTTTGTTTTGTTTTGAGATGGAGCATCACTCCAGCTGCCCAGTCTGGAGTGCAGTGGCCAGATCTCAGCTCACTGCAACCTTCACCTCCCAGACTCAGGCAATCCTCCCACCTCAACTTCCCGAGTAGCCGGAACTACAGACACGTGCCACCACACCCAGCTAAGTTTTTATATTTTCAGAAGAGATGGGGTTTCACCATGTTGGCCAGGCTAGTCTCAAACTCCTGAGCTCCAGCAATCCACCTACCTCAGCCTCCCAGAGTGCTGGGATTACAGGCAAGAGCCACCACACCCAGCCTTCATCTTTATTTCTTTAAAGAAACACTTAAATAGTGCTTCTCTTCATGTATTCGTCTAAGCACTATATAATCACTCAGTTCACCTAAGTAATTCTTCAGGTTGGCATTCATAGCATGGCGACTTAGTTTCCACCTTAGGCCAGCCTTTCCTGCCTCTCCAATGATCTGTAATGTGGCCTTACGAACATCCTCAAAGGGACTTCTCATCTTGTTCATCTCTTCCTGAGACACAATCCTCCCACCCCCACCCCAAAAATTCACTTGTCAAAGGTCAAGACAAGCTCAAATCCTGCCTGCATTAAACCTTCCCAAAACCTCCCAGTCAGAACTATCCCTACCCATTCCTCCCTCTGGTACTGGAGGTACAACAATTTCTGAAGAATATAAACTCTCAAAGGAAGTAAACCTCCTAGTTTACATCATCCTTCTCTAGCTTTCTCTTCTCATCTTGCCTGGCTCTGTGCCTAGCCATAATAGATGTGGCTCAACATGTCATGCCATGTAAATACACTCATTTAATCCATAAAATAAAGATCGACCGTAAAGAGCAGTTTTCAGTAGTGCCAGCCATGAACAGAACACTATATATTGTCCCATGTGATTCTTTATTACCAAAATTGTTATCAATGGTCATGATGTAAAATAATTACCATTTTCTATGTGCCAAGTACCATGTAAGCACTTTACATACCTTCTAAATTCACATATTCCCCCAAATTACTCTTTAACAGAAAAACTTGCCTTGTTACCCAAGACTATTATAATGTTCTCATATTACGGAGGGTTCACCACTTTATAAAAAACAATACAGTATTTGAGGAAGACACATTCACCAGAACTAATTCGATTAGGGTAGTTTTAGATGTTTATAGAAATCATATGATAAACTATCAAAAAATCAGATGGGGAGACAAAGAAATTTAACATGGATAGATGAATTATTCCTGGGGATTGACTTTACAACTGCTACTGCTAGGAAATTTATAAATTAGCTCTAGAAAGATTCTTTAAAAGAAAAAAAAGTTGAAGGAATAAAGAAACAGACACAAAAAGAAAAAAAAGATAAATAAAACAGCCAGTTGCCACACTATGGAATCACAAGTATAGTATTACAAGAGAGAAAAACACTTGAATGCTTCAGAATTAGTCTTTGACGCTGGGTTTAAATTTGCAGTGCCAACATTGTCGATGGATTCAAAAAGCTCTGCATAGCAAACATCTCCAAGCAGCACAGGTAACACGGTGTGGGAACTCTGTTTAGAGGGACTAAAAGTGATTGTAATCACACTGACAAACACGCTGAAATTGGAGACATCAGCCGAGAGTTTGAACAAAAACATTCTGGGAAATGTGAAAGTAGAAATTATAGAAATAGATCACTTATTCATATTTGAATCACATTATATAACTAAATATTTTCCTTAAAAACTAAACTCATGGCCGGGCAGGTGGCTCATGCCTATAATCCAAGCTACTTGGGAGGCTGAGGTGCAAGAATCGCTTGAACCCAGGAGGCGGAGGTTGCAATGAGCCAAGATCGCACCACGGCACTCCAGCCTGGGTGACAGATCAAGACTCTATCTCAAAAAATAAAATAAAATAAAATAAATTCATGTGAAAGAAGCTTCTCTGTCAAGACCAGGCCTGGAGAGCATCTGTCCTCTTCAGAAGCAAGCCCTTTTATAGCATCCGCAGCTGAGTAAAGGCTGAAACAGGCGGCCCTGGAAACTCATTAGGAGCCCTCGGGTTCCTTTAAAGACCCTTCAACTTCATACAAACTTCACCATATCCAGAGACAGAGGATACTATATTAGAAAGAGACAAGAAGTTGAAAAACAGTCCTCTCCTTGTGTTCTGTTGTGACACACATTTGTTAAATGAATTTTTAGCAAATTGAGAAATTTAAGCATTTTAAGAAATTTTAGAGTCATAGAGACCTAAAACCTCCATCTTCTGTATTTGACCCAAATCTGAGAGCCGCAACTGACCAGAGAACACACACAGCCTTTTCAGCTTGCTTCCAGATTCTCAGCTATGATATCAACAGAGTAACAACGTGAAATGTGCAAATCTCAGAACACAAAATATCAAGGAGAGATACTGGGAATAATGACTCTTTTTGTTTTAGGTAAATTTGCAGAAACCTTATAGCAGTAAGTGCAGCCTTGGAAGAGACAAGGGTATGCCTCAGGATTCTTCAACAGGGCAGGGCCTGTGCATGGGCACAGGCGCTCCAAAAGCGGGGGTGCCTGGAAAGAGGGCCAAGCCCCGATGGCTGCTCCCAGCTCCACCTGGAGGGACCACTCACCTCTCCAGGCTCATCCTGCTGTGCAGACAGCACCCATGAGGATTACTCTTTTCTAAAGTAAAGTTGTTGGAAAGCCTACATCTAAGTGAAAGGTTTTCTTTTTGATGATTTAAGCTTTTGCTCAATTACATACGAGAACAAGAATAATCTCTTATTTGATAAGATAATAAAACAAAATAGAATTCGCCTATTTTTGCTAAAACGATTAATGCCTCTAAAATACAACATTGTCACCAGAAGCCCTAGTGGCCTTGCGGATAAGGCACTGGCCTCCTAAAACAGAACATTTTCACAGTAGTTTGATGAGAACCCAGTATAGAGGGTGTTCTGAGGACCACACTTCCTGTCACATAAAACAAAATCCTGCCCTTGAAGATGCAAAATGTCCACACCTGCCACTACTGTATCCTGCCCCGTTCCTCTGGAGAGGCTGCGCGAAAACGTCTTAGGCCCCACAGATGCGGCGCCAGCATCCTTCACTCACCTGAATGTGCATGGCGCCCTCTACTGCTTCTTGGATACTGGGACATCCACTGATGAGTGACAGCTGCTCTTCCACACTCAGGGAGCCTTTCAGAGAGCCTGCCTGTTCCAGCGACTTCATCTCCTTCCTGGAAAGTCAGAGAGAAGGATCACTGTGAGTATTCAAGACCACATTTAAAAACAAATAAAGGTCAGCATCAGGAAGCATCAGGGAAAAGCGAAGCGGAACCACAATGAGATACCACCTCACACCCATTAGGGTGGCGACTACCAAAAATAGAAACTAGCAATTGTTGGCAAGGCTGTGGAGAAACTGGAACCTTCGTGCTCTGTTAGTGAGGCTGTAAAATGGCGCGACTGCCATGGAAGACAGACATGGCAGTTCCCCAAAACAGAATTACAGCATGCTCCAGCAATTCCACTTCCAGGTATAAACCCAAAATAATGGAAAGCAGGGTCTCCAAGAGATTTTTGTACACCAGTGTGCACAACAGCATTATTCACAATAGCCAAGAGGGAGAAGCAACCTAAGTGTCCATCAGTAGATGAGTAGATAAGCAAAATATGGTACATACACACAACGGAAATTATTCAGTATTAGAGGAAGGAAATTCTGACACATGCTACAATATGGATGGACCTTCAGGACATTATGCTGACTGAAATAAGCCAGTCACAAAAGGAAAATTACTGTGTGATTCCACCCACAAGAGGTATCCAGAGCAGTCAAAATAATAGAGACAGGCCAGGTGCAGTGGTTCACACTAATACTAGCACTTTGGGAGGCTGAAGTGGATGGATCACTTGAGGTCAGGAGTTCGAGACTAGCCTAGTTAACATGGCGAAACCCTATCTCTATTAAAAATACAAAAAAAAAAATAGCTGGGTGTAGTGGTGGGCACCTGTAATCCCAGCTACTTGGGAGACTAAGGCAGGAGAATCACCTGAACTCGGGCAGCAGAGGTTGCAATGAGCCAAGGTCACGCCACTGCACTCCAGCCTGGGTGACGGAGCAAGACTCTGTCTCAAAAAAAATACTAATAGACAGAATTAGAATGTTGGTAGCTGCAGGAGCTGCGTGTTGAGGAATGGGGAGTTAAGGTTTAATGGTTACAGAGTTTCAATTTGAGAAGATGAAAATGTTCTGGAGATGAATGATGGTGAGGGTTGCAAAACAATGTAAATATATTTAATACACTTAAAACATTAAGATAAGTCGTATTACATACACTTTACCACAATTTAAAATCTTAATTATTTTTTTGAAAATGAAACAAGCCCCATGGCAGGAGTCAGGGGGGAAAGTTGGAAAACAGTGGTTCTTAAACCTTTTCCTTGGGTCAGGCCCCTGAGGTGGAAGGATTGAAAGAAGGTACTTACAACAGAGTCGGCTTGGTGGCATGTGAGCTGTGAGGTCACCTGGGCCACCAGACTCAGAAAGGCCTGTGCTGGGTTTACTGCTCTGCTGTCCACATCTTAAAATTCTTAATATATTTTTGCTTTGGGGTTTTTTTTGTTTGTTTGTTTTTTTGAGACAGGGTCCTGCTCTGTCACCCAGGCTGGAGTGCAGTGGCACAATCATGACACACCACACCCTCAACCTCCCAGAATCAAGTGATCCTCCCACCTCAGCCTCCCAAGTAGCAAGAACTACACACTCACACCACCACGCCTGACTAATTTTTTGTATTTTTTGGTAGAGACGGGGTTTCACCATGTTGCCCAGGCTGGTCTTAACTCCTGGGATCAAGTGATCCTCCTGCCTTGGCCTCCCAAAGTGCTAGGATTATAGGTGTGAGCCACAGTGCCTGGCCCTAAATTTTTTTTAAAAAGAGGGAGAGAATGTTTGAGATTTTTTTTCTCATGTAAGTAATTTGGAAGATTTGTAATATATCGGCTTTAAAAAAAAATCTACCTACCTTAAAATAGGGCCAGAAAACAGATGTCTTATTTTGGAGGATTATAAGGACCAACATACAGATTCCTGATAGGATCTCATCACCCGCAAAACAACTCAGTGTTAGAACCAAATATTCTGGACCACCGTCCCCAGAGAGCAGGCAGTTTCAAAGTTTCATATAGAACCAATTCCTTGAATTGGAGGCTTATAAAGTTAGTGAGGCGAGGCACAGTGGCTCACGCCTGTAATTCCAACACTTTGGGAGGCCGAGGCAGGTGGGTCAGTTGAGGACAGGAGTTTGAGACCAGCCTGGTCAACATGGTGAAACCTCATCTCTACAAAAAATACAAAAAGTAGCTGGGCATGGTGGTGCACACCTGTAGTCCCAGCTACTCGGGAGGCTGAGGTGGGAGAATCACTTGAGCCCAGGAGATGGAGGTTGCAGTGAGCCATGACTGAGCCACTGCACTCCAACCTCGGAGACAGCGCGAGATCCTGTGTCAAAAAACAAACAAGCAAGCAAAAGAGAAAAACAAGGTAGCTAGTGAAAAATATACAAAATGAAATATGTATCTTAGCCAGTTCATTTAGAAGTTTATTAGTTCAATAGGGTACTATGAGGCATCTTAGCAACAGATTAGAGATTTAAGATTTAGAAGGTCGATAGCTAAAATCAAAAAAGAACTGGTTCAAGGTAAGCGGCAGCAAATAAATATTTGAAACATCGTGGAGGGAAATGTAACAAAAAGGGTTATGAGAAAAGGTTTGTCTATTAAGATAAAAAGGAAACACAGATGTTCATGGGTCCCACTGGGTCCTGTGATTCTGAGTCAGCAGCACTCAGCACACAGCCCTGAACGCAGATGGTGCCTCCTACACGGCATTATCCAGGAAAAGAGGGCACCATGTGATCTAAAGATCATTTGTCTTTCACTGTGTAGTGTGTTTTGATCCCTCTTTGAAAATGTTTAGTTACACAATTCTGTAAACATACTATAAAACCACTGAACTGAACATGTCAAATGAGTCAGTTGTATGACATGTAAATTTATTTCAATAAAGCAGTAGCATTAATAACATTGCTACTGTAACGAATTATCACAAACAGTGGACTAAACATACAGATGTATTATCTTACAGTTCTGGAGATCAGAAATCCCAAGCAGACTAACATCAAAGTGTCAGCAGGGAACACACTCCTTCTGGAGGCTTCGAGGAGAATACATGCCTGGGCTGTCCCAGCCTCTAGAGGCTGCCTGCATTCGTGGCTCATGGCTCCTTCCCCCTCCACAGCCAGCCACCCCCGCCCCACCTGTTTCTGTCATCTGTCTCCTTCCTTGACTCCTACCTCCCTTTATCCCTCTAAGGACCCATGTGATTACATCAGGCCAAGCCGGCACTCCAGGATAATCTCCCCATCTTGCCATTCTCAATTCAGTCACATCAGCAATGTCCCTTTTGCCATGTAAGGTTCTGGCTCATCCAAAGTTGTGCCAAAGATCTGGACATCTAACTGTGGTTGCAGGTATGTTGTTCTGGAGATGATAAGCAATTTGTTCCTGGCAGGCACTTGAGGGTGCTACCAATCAAGGAACCAGTCTGAATTCCTGGTTCGGGGGTTTTTCAGGTGACACAGGTAGTATGAATTTGAGCTCCGAAACTTTGAGGATTGCTCTATGATTACAAATTCCCAGGGTGGTTAGAAAAGCAGACCCCAGGCCAGGTGCAGTGGCTCACAGCTGTAATCTCAGCAGGTGGGGAGGTCGAGGCAGGCATATCACGTGAGCTCAGAAATTTGAGACCATCCTGCCAACATGGTGCAACCCTGTCTCTACTAAAAATACAAAAATTAGCCAGGTGTGGTGCCACACCCCTGTAATCTCAGCTACTTGGGAGGCTGAGGCAGGAGAATCACTTGAACCTGGGAGGTGGAGGTTGCAGTGAGCCGAGGTGGCAGACTGGCTGAGGGCAGGAAGGAGCAACAGAAACACAGTCAGTAGTGGAGACCCCATGACTGTAGGCCATAAAAAGGCAGGACTTTAGAAAAGACCCAGCCACCCTATAACTGCCATGAGCTACCAGAGCCACTGTCTGACTGTCAGAGGCTCAGGTGTCCCCTGAACAATGTCTGTTTCTGGACAAACATGCAGCTGCAGAGACGGCGTCCTGTATCCCTTCCTCCCTCACCTGGTGTCACAATCAGCCCTCATCGAGAACAGGAATCAGTGTACCCTGTCCTTTATAGCCTGAAAGGGCCTATTTTGGAGATTACAACACATTTGAATTATCCAGTTTTGAACTATATGATTGATAGAAGTTCGACCTGCAGCAGTGGCTAAGCCTAGGAGTCAACACTGGGAAAAGACAATCACACTGCCCACAAATACAACTGGAGGAAAAGCATTTCTATGGCAGAAGAGCTATTTGCAGTTACCAAACAAAAACTCGCTTCAGCTGAATTATAGGTTTTTGGTATTACAGAGAAATAAGTGAGACGTTTAATACATAGTCCGTTGCTTTTCTAAGACTATTTCCTTTTCATAATTTAAGAAATTTTAAATGTAGGAAGAATAATAAACATCCTCATATCTCCACCCTCCAGAACTAACCACTTTTTAAGTAAACAAAACCTAAATGATTCTCTTAGTGCCACCACCCCAGCCTCACACAACCATCCTCCCACTGAACACACAGGGTCCTTGGATGCCAAGGCCTGGAGCATAGTGCATAACCCTTGCGTCCTTTAGGAAATTATGTCTGAGCACCTGATGTGCTCAAAGCACCTGCTCCAAGCTTAGTAGGCCACCTGCGTGTCTTCAAACCTTTCCACTAATCCAAAGCAAACTTTTAGCCTTTTTTTCCCCAAAAGTACTGAGTGAGATGAGACAGATAACAGGAGGACAGGAGACTCTTGTTCCTGGATCCTCCAGGGACCACCCCAGAAGAAGAAGGTCCCAGGGAGACAGCAAGCAGTGGCAGGAAAAGCCACAACCACTGGCCTCTTGCAGAGCAGACTCAGAACATGCAGTGGGGGGTTCTTCCCCAGGCCCTTCCTCCCTGGGCAGCACACACAGGTAGGACAGAGAACCTGGGCACAAGGGAGAGACCTGTGTGGTCACACATTAACCCGTCAGCCAACTGCAAACTTCAGGATCGTGTTGCATGGTCCCAAGGGACATCCAGTGAAAGCTAAGGAGGAGCTTCCCAACACCTGCAGACAAAGCTCAA